GTTCTGGAGGGTCGCTTTCACCTGAACGCTGCTTGCTGCACTTTGCCGTTTCGATTGGGAGCACCAATGGTTTAGGAGGACGGACTGACATGCCCCCACATGCACACGCTACCAGACTAGCTACCAAAACAAAGACCAGAGAAAATCTAATTTACAGGAGCTTTAAACCAAAATATACATTATAATTTTGTGTCTCTTCTAACCTTATGAAGCCTATTTTGTAGACAAAAACATGTAAAGGAGGGAAATCTGTAATTGTATCCCTGTTGGTTTGCTATTTAAAAGTCTAACCGAGTCAAAGTGGTCCCAGGCCCTCCAGCGAACGCTCCACCGCCTCACCCAGTGAACAGCTTGATGTGAGGGATGGAGGAGGAAGGCATTTCCCTTGTTAGAACAAAATAAATGAATCCCCATAGTAAATTACGTGTTTTAGGTAGAAAGGGAGGGGAAACCATTTACTTGTCCACCTTGTGTCTTGTGTAATTAGAACAAATCATTTGTGCAGCAAAAAGAGCAACTTTGCTGCACTGTTTGGGGATTTTTTAATGGTAGAAATATTTTTCAGCATTAGGAACACACACTTGTACATCTGAGTTCAGACATAAGTGCTCACATGAGACAATAGATGCATTGGTGCAGAGCCCTGTTTTGTTTTTTGTTTGCCCTCTTACCATATTCAGGGTCAATGCGCAGGGTCAGAAGCTGAGGAGAATTTACCATTTTCTGCAAAAACACTTTGTAAGGAAAACGTTTACCCCACAGCAACTCTCAGTGGACCATGATCAAAAATTTAAACCAGCATTGATTGATTTTTTGGCCTCAGGAGCAGGAGAACAAGGTTATCTGCAAAAATGGTTGTCGGTCTGTTTGCGTGTGGAGAGAGAGAGACAGAGGGCAGGGCGAGGCGCTGCGAGCTCTACAATGAATTAAGAATTTACTCCTTTTGAAGTAGTAAAAACATAGAAAATCAATATGACCGTCAATGTTGATATTGTGGACTTCCACAACAAATAAATCAGTGTATGGGAAACAGCGAGAAGTGAACAAATATTATAAATTTGCAGGCTGGAAAAAACCAAAACAATGAACCAAAAGATGCTAAAATGCTCTGTAGAGTCGAGGGTAACTGAGGAGAGAGCCTAATATATGGCTGGACCGTATGTGTTACAGGACATAAACTGCATTTACTACCCTTATCGCTAAAGGAGGCAGATGAATAACTAAACATAAGACACAGCAAGCAGAGAGAGCAGGAGGGTGGTCAGGAGAGAGAGATGCCATCGCTAACTGCTAAGCGAAAGCTAGCAGATCTGAATAGCATGTAAACAACAGAAACTCCAGCAACAGGAAATAAGACAATGCACTTACTGCAGCACAGCAATAAAAACCCTGTTAAGAAATAAAGAATTCCTGTCCACTGAAACACCAGAGGGCTTTTAATCTTAAACGCTAACAGGAAGTGTTAACGCGTAATGTAGTAACTTTAACAGGAGCGGATCAAAACGAGGTTTCGTATGAAAGAAGTTGAGGTAAACAAAGGCCCCGCTCCACTGCTGTGGTACAGCTGAAACGGCGTTCAGCTGTCCAATGGTGGAAATATGATGACTCGACTATGAACACTCACTCACTCAGTCAGTCAGTCAGTCACAAACATTCACGGGTTGGCCAAAAAATATTGAGTAGTGCAGCTTTAACTGAAAGGAGGCTCCACCAGACGGTCAACAAGCTTGTGAGCTAAGTACAGTTGTCAAGAGACGATGGTTTTGCTTCATAACACATAATATATTCCAGCCAGTTGTTCAACATGACCACAAAGGGAATATGCATTAGAATTCAGTGTTAGTCTCACATCACTTGAAGTTTCCCTTTAAGAAGAGACCCATAATTTTAAAGGCTAAGTGCTCAGCAACAGCAGCAGCATCAGTCTACACTCTGACAAGATCCTTTTGAAATGAGTCTGCATGAGATGCCTCTAATTATGTAATGTGTGTTTCCATATCGTAAACATGTCTGGCAGTGCAGCTGCACATTTCTGGTTCTCCAGGGACAACAGGCCACAGTGAAAGAATTGCCGAGCAAACATATCTATCTAACTTAAACATGAAACAAAAAGGAGGGTAAAATTCACTCTTCGGTACTCAGCCTTAATCTAGTAGGCTTGTTTCAGCAGCTGTAGGTTCTATGAAGTCCTTACAAAACACAACAGCCTTAATAATTAAAAAAAAAACAGAGAGTTTGACACACTATCATAATTTTATACATGATGCATGTTACAAGGAGTCTAAGAAACATGTCAAACAACTTATTCTTGTGTAAAACAACACACAACCACAACTATTAACGTTTTTTTTCGACGCATTTGCCCACATTACACACTCAGTAGCAGTTATTTCCTGCTGCAATTTCACACTCCGATCTAAAAATCAGATCGTCATAAATGCTGATAAGCGTGAAATGTTTCCGTCAAGATGTGAATGTGTGGCCTCAATGATCAAAGTGAGCCCTCTTTAAAGATTATAGGTTTAACAGCAGACAATTAAAATAAACACACCAAAAAAAGAATCGGGGAGGAGAGGGAAAAAAAAGATATCTATTTGACATTGCTGGAGATATAATATGCTGGAGCCACGAGTGGAGGCGAGAGGAGCCGCAGCTCGGAACAATGCCTAGCTATTATATTGTTCTTAGCTGCTCTCCTATAATAGCAGGTTTAATGCAGGTGAAAATTACGGCGATTATCTCCCCCGTCGGAATGGGAGATTCTGGCGTTTTCATGTCAAAGTCGTTGTGCGAGGAGGTCGATGGGAGTCACCTTGTCAACTGCAGAAGGTTTTGTACATGATATCATGCTCTGCTACCCACCCCACCCCACCCCACCCCCCATCTCCCATCTTAACCCCCGCCTGCCCTCCCATCACCCTTTCACATCGTACCCACCCTCCTATTCTCTCCATCTCCACGTCCCTGTTCCCTGCATTAAAGTGATCTAACTATCACTGTGTCTGCCTGCTCTGTCTCTTTCCCGCCTGTGGATGTTCAGAGATGAGTTACTGAACCGGAAAAGTGTGTGGTTGACAGAGGCAGTTACAGGGGGAGGTAGCAGTACAGTACAGCAATAGCATATCATAGTGTGAAGCAGAGATGAGTAGTGAGAAGACGTACAGCACAGGTTGTATAAGTGTAGGGAACAAGAACGGAAGTTCACTGAGGACTAAGGAAGCAGGTGAGTGCTTCCAACTATATTACAGTTCTGGGAGGACCCTTTCTTATTGCCCTGTGATGCAGTATGAACCTATATGCAGTAGCCTATAACATATTCTGTGAAAATAGGAGGGAACAGATTGCCGCAGTAATTACTCCTAAAATCGGGAAATTAGTTAGCACTTTAGCACTTCTAGTTCCTTCGTCTGGAAGTCTGCGGGTTTTTATGAATGAGCTCAAGACATTTTTCATGTTTTATTCTACAACATAAAATACTTCAGTAAATATCCCAGTCATGATTTCTTAAAGCTTTTACGTGCTAAGTGGCTAAATTAGACTACGGAGGTTGTCTGGGACGTTAAACATCATCAAGCCGAACATGATAACCGATCTACTCACGAGTTCACCTTTACTTAGTAAGAGAAAAGGCTTTTGTACAAGAGGTCAGAACTAAATCAAACTACAAGTTGAAGTGAAGTGGTGGTGGCGTTGAAGTTATGCGACCATGGTGTAGTTCGTTTATAGTCTTACATTAGCTTTTTACCTCTGGCGTTTTTATTTAGTTTTCTAGAGCTGATTTTCTGCAGTAATCCATAAACCAATGAAAAAAAAAATTTCGCTTTCACTCCGAACATACTGTAAAGCTCTTTGAGCAAGTCTTCGCAGCTAAAATGTTCAAGTGCCCACATACTTTTGGCCATGTGGTATATATCACTACTGTGCTACATGGAAGCATCAGCTCAGTTTTGAATTTGGACATAAAGGGCAGCACTTGTACATTACCAGTACTTTGCCGGTGGAAAACAGAGTGATGATAAGCAGTAAAAACATCACAGCTGTTTCGTGCTTTTCATATTTTTACTGCAGAGCTCCAGTCTCAGTTGAAATCACATCTATAACTCTTGGCTTTAAACTAATAACTAATACATCACGGTCAAACTTAAGTTTCTAAAAGGTGATATGTTATGCAAGATGTTTAGTTGAGAACATCAATATGTTGCTCATAAAGCAGAAGAGATAAACTTATCCTACAGGGAAATCTATTGATTACATTGCAGTGTTGAGAAATCACACAAGAAACAAGTTCCCTCTACAAACACTCGACTACGGAGTAAAAAAAAAAATCAGTTGAATAAGAGTTCATCATCTGAATCTCCATGGGTCTGAGCCCAGACCGTGGTCTTCATCAAGGGTTTCTGGTGTTAGGCATGGCAGAGCAGTTTGTCAACTTGGAGGCTGCTGATTTTCTTGTTGTGGAGCTCTGGAGGACTTATGCATCTCAGGGCATCCCGAGGCGACAGGGTGGCCTTGGTCCGTCCCATCCACTGCACCAAGGAGCTGATGTTACAGTCGCACTGCCACGGGTTGTCATGGAGGTACAGCTTCTTCAGGACTAGGAGGGGTCGAAGAACAAAGGTTATTTCTAAAGATAAATCGTGCAGGCACCAGTGAACAATGCAGTCATCTCTGCCTCTATCATTATGAGTCACTCCTTTTGTTCATGTGAAAACGGGAAAGTGAAAAGGCCACCTGCTGGCGTTAGACTTACTAGGCATATGGGTGAACATGTTTCCATCCACCGTCCTCAGGCGGTTTCCACTGAGAGCCAGCTGAGAAAGCTTGGGCATGTTCCTGAACACATCAGGTGGCAGGTTCTCCAGCTTGTTGTTCCTCAGGTACAGTTCCTAGTTCAATACTCAGCACATTTATTTTTGTGGTATTCACAATCTTCCTTCTGGGCAAAATAATAATAATAATTTACCAAAATTAACTATAAATACATCTTATCTTTTACTAAATTAAGGCTGAAGTGAGACTGACTGACTGACAACACACTGTGTTACCTGCAGGTTGTCCAGGCCATCCAGAGCTGGTGGGCTCAGTGTGGACAGAAGGTTGTTGTCTAGAACCAGCATCTCCAGAGATCGCAGCAGCCTGAAAGCTCCAGCAGGAACAGTCTTCACACTGGATTTGGAGAGAGAGTCCAAAATCTTTTAATCAAACTAAATGATATTGTAGTACACGTGTGTGTTGTAGGTGTTTGCATGTCTTTCTATGGTCGCGGGACAAAGTTTGATTTGACACCATCCTTGTGAGGACATGTTGGGAGAGTGAGGACATTTTGGTCCTCACAACTTTTGACGGTAAAACTTGGTTTCAGGGTTAAGGTTATGTTTAGGTTAGTGTTCTGGCGGGCCAAATATTATTCCTGGCAGGCCAGTTTTGGCCCGCAGGCCGCCAGTTGTCAACCACTGGGCTAAGGAATGCATTGTGTCCTCACAATTAACATAAGACAAGCATATGTGTGTGTGTGTGTGTGTGTGTGTGTGTGAGTATGGATATGTGTGGGTGGATGGGTTTTCTGTGTGAAAATTATAGAGGGGAGAGAGAACAAGAGAGGGCAGACATTGTCAACAGAAGGAATAAAAAAATAAAGAAAATAGGACAAAGAAGCGAAGTGGATCTGAAGGGTGTTGGGTTCGGACCTCTGTCCCTCTTTCCAAGCCACACATGTAATAAAGTGAGCTTTTTCATGTAACCAGTATAAAGACGTCCGCTCTTAGTTACTAACTTGAAATTTCAAAGCTCTTCAGACTTGCAATGCCTAGCTGCCCTTGTTGTCTTTGGATTGATTGGACAGTCACTGTTTGGAGGAGGGGTTTCGCGAACAATGAACTGGCTAATTGACTCAACCAATGATCCATGTATAGTGTGAAGTCCTTTTTTGCACAGATCTCAGATCTCAGAACTGTTGAGCAGCTAATAGAGTTTCAGTCTTCCTGGTAAAGGCGTCAAAGTTTTTATCTTATATCTATCTTTATCTCAGTTTTGCTTTTTAGTCCCTGGTTTTAAAATTGAGAGGAGCCTTGTGACCATCAGTGACTCTTCCCCGACAATGCATGGTTTAGAAGTGAGATTCTAACTTGAAGTACCTACACTATGAAGTCAGTTTTGTAATTGCTAGATGTAGATGTGGTACATTCACATAAAAGGGCGTATGTTCCTGTGACCTGTTATTGTCCAAGTTGAGAAACATGAGCTGCCTGAGCCCAGTGAAGGCCTTTGGAGAGATCCTCTCGATGCGATTGAGGGAAAGGTCCAGAACCTTGAGGGCGATCAGAGGCTTGAAGGCGTTAGACGGGAGCGAGGTCAACGCGTTGAGAGGCAGGTCGAGATCTGACAGGTTCCTCAAGCCAGCAAACATCTCAGCTTTGAGGGTGCCGATCTGGTTCTGTCCCAGCATGAGGAAGCGAAGGTTCAGGAGGTCCTTCAGACGTGGAAGAAGAAACACTTTTCTGATCAGATTATTGCAGTGGGAACACTGTACATGTAACCTATTCCTCTTACAACCTTTTACCTGGAATGCCTTTGGTGGAAGGTTGGTGATACGGTTGCTGTACAGATTGAGAAGCATCAGCTGCTTTGCACCAGAGAAAGCTTTGGGGTGGATGGACTTGATGGCGTTTCGTTCCAGGTTGATACTCTCAATCTTCGGGATCGATGTCAGAGCGTTGGCCTTCAGGTCTGTGATACCATTCTCACCTTCACACACACCAGAGGGGAAGTTGGTTACCGATGCAATCATGTCCCACACGACCCTTATGTTTGCTTAAATGTCAGATAAATTATCACATCTTGAACATTGAAACAATCTTATGGTTGATTTTATTAACTGAAAAGTACTCACCAAGTTTGAGGATCCAAGCATCGGGGGGCAGATCGGAGGGGAAATCTTGAAGTCCCTTCTTGTGACAGTTGACCTCTGACTTTTCTACGTCGGGCATCTTGGAGCATTTGCAGACGTCAGGACAGCTCTCCACAGTCTGTGCCCCCCATAGGATCACCAGCAACAACCACTGTAGGTACTGCATCTCCCTCCCTGCAGGAGGGTGAGCGTGAAGAGAGAGAGAGCTTTGAATTTTTCTACCATTTTAATATATTTTATAGATATTATAGTTGATTTGTGATCCTTGTGTTTCAGCAAACATTCCAACAAATTTACCCGCTTTTTCATGGGAATGTTTTTTTTTAGCATGCATGAGCTTGTGTGTCTCTGTATTTGTGTTCCAAAGACTCGTATGTACTGAAATACATAACCTCGTCCATTATTTATATCTAAATGCTAAGCTCCAACCTTGAAATGCCATTATTATGGTAATATGACTGGATCAATAATTCATATAGAGCGTTGTCCTCCAATTACTTTCCATGCTAAAATGGCAGCTGACAGTCCAGCTTTTTTTTTTCTTAGAATACAACAATGTTAAAGTATTACATAACAAGTAAAATCCCTCTATTCGAAATGCTTGTTAAAGGTGACATTTACTTACATTTATTTGTCTAACATTCAGTGTTCCTCAACAAATACAATCTGTGAATCACTGGGGTCTAACAAATATGTTGAGTGCATTTCCTTCCACAACAGAACATTTACAAAGCCCACTGTGCATTCTTTTTACATCCATATTTGCAATATATATCATATACATATACATATATATATCAGCAGTCTTCTTCTGCTCTGCACTGTGTTGGACATTTGCTGGTGTGTTACTGCCACCAACTGTTGATCAGAGACTATCCTTTAAAAAAACGAGCCCATACGTCGTTTGTGTATGAAGTTTAAAAAAAGAAAAAGTAAAGAAGACCTATATGGTTTTTCAGGTCCGAGGACTTGTTGGGACAGTCTCTGAGGAACAGGAGTAAAAACAAAAAATACAAAACAATATTTTGTTATTTTCATTTCTTGATTACATTTCTTGTTGTAATACAATGAAAACTGACCTGAGCATCAAATGTGTTCACTTCAGTTATGTTTGAGTTGTCATATCCAGCCATTAAAGAGGCAGAGTTCTTAATTACAAGCCAGTGACACGCTGTGCATCATCATCATCATCATCATCATCATCATCATCATCATCATCATCATCAGATCAGGGGCAGAGAATTTAATAAAAAATAAAAATAAAATGATTATTATTTGATAGGCTGTATTAAATTCATTTAGCATTTTCAACATATCAAACAGGTTAGAATGAGTATGAAGAATAAATTGATAACTATTATTTGTGATATTTGTTTATTTATTTAAAACGATTATGAACGTACTTCAAAACTGTTTGAGTTACTGCTTTTTCTAGCTTCGTGCATGCTTTGGTGTAGTGTCGCCTCTCTAGCTCTTTTCTCGGGTTGTTTTCCCCTCCCTCGTGTGTTTTGTTTGTCCCCAGTTGGCACTCTGTGTCTGTCTGTGTGTATGTGTGTCTGTCTAGCTGGGCGTGGCTTCCTGATTTCCAGCTCCCGCCAGTTCTCAAGCACACCTGTTCTTCACTTGCCAATCAACTCCGCACCGCCGCAGCAGCGTTTGAGGCCCAGCTCACCTCTTTGTCCTCTGCCAGATCAGTCCAGTCAGATTGTGTGGTGTTATCTACGGCCGACCTCAGGCCTCCCTGTGTTTTCCTGTGCTTCAAGTCCAAATCCCTGTAACCTTCCTGCCCTGCCTCGCTCAGCCCAGTTTTGTTTTTTAACCTGTTTGGATTTTTGTTTGCCTGCTCTGCTCTGTGGATTCCTGTGTTTGCCTCCGCCATTACCTTCCAGCAAGCCTGCAGCTCTGCCCCCCTCCAACATCTTCAACGAAAACCCCCATAACTCAGCTCTAGCTACTATAGTTTAGTTTTCATAAAAGCCATAAAAAGAACCCCTTTATGGACAGTATAGCAGCTACATCACCGCTAACTGGCTAACATGGGTATAGCTACTTACTACAGACACTCACTGCCTGTCTGTATACGTAGAGTCACATAAAATAGTTTTAATCTAATAAGGAGGGATGTTTCTTGACTACACATATTCTAGTATTTACATTTTACAACGAAACGGATGGCAGACAGAAGATAAATAGAGTGACACCACTTCCTGGATGCAACAGTCTATAACACCCGCCAACATAAGAGCGTTGTGTCAGAACAGAAACTGAGAAAGGCAGTGAATGAAAAATACAGATCAGGAGAATATTCTAATTAACAGTAGTACTCTTATGTTTTTATTGGGACTTTTGCCTTTTTTAAGGTCAACATTGTTTTTGGTTTCAAAACATTTTGATTTCATTATGATTACATTTTTTTTTTATTCTTGGGAGATTTTGTTGAATTATCTTGAAACTATTGAAACTGTTATTTTGACAGCAGCTGAAATGCCTGCATGCAATAGATTTTACTCGCTTGCCAATGCAAACAGTGACAGTGAGTCAGCTGCAGAAACCACACAGATTTGTTAAAAGTGGAAAGAGAATATGTTGAAAGTCGCAGGGTCAAATGATTCTGTGTCGTTACTTTCAGGAAGAAATGTGACTTTTCAGTAATCGTGAAAAACCCCAGTTTTGTTGAGAAAAGCCTAATAAATTCCCAGAAAGATATACTTTGAAAATTATAGGACAACCTTCAACCTTCAACAGATATATCTATAAAAAGTTATTATGTCTAAGAACATTTAACAGCCTGTTAAGAGCTGAGGAAGCCAAAAGCAGGCTCATAATGTCAGGCAAAGAAAGATATAAAATAGATGAGAAAACTGACCTCAGTGCAGAATTCAGTCCATGAATAACTGGAAGTTACTTAAATATGATTAAAGTCAGAAACGTGTAAAAATATGCAACCAAAAAGAAAATAAAGTAGTGCTTCTTAAATCATTTGCACAAAGGAATGTGGAAAATCAGAACATGTGTCTGCAGTTAATCCCATTTCAAAACAAACCAGGTTGTGAAACAAAGAGCAGCTTTTCACCAGCACAAACCTGGTGAATTACCTTGTTATCTTTTCAAACAACTGAACTAGTTGAAGTGCATTTGATTTCTCCCGCTCGACATGAAAGCTGATCCAAATAGAAGAAGAAAAATCAAAACGTGAGACAGATGAAGCTCATTTGAAAGCAGTCGGGCTGTTTATCCTCCTGCTGAGTGCCACTTACCTGAACGCGCTGTCATCACCCCTTCAAAACAACGCTCCAGATGTCTGCCCACTTTGTTTTCACCTCTCACTCAGATCGGGTTCAGTTTTTCCCCTTTAAAGCGTCAGTTACTCTTTCTTGTGAGTACCAGCCGCCAGTCAGAGACAGTTATCCCTGGTGTCTGCAGCCTCACTGTCACTGAGCTTTAAAAACTGATTTTGTAGATACACAACTTTTACTTTTAATTCATTTTCACATCAGAAGAAGCACTGCAGAGTTGTCAGCTCCCACTGAGCTCGGAAAACTATGCAAGATACGAAGCAGGCTGTCAAACCTGACATGAAAGCAGCTATACAACACTGGCCAGGGTGGTGGTGGTGCTGGTGGTGGTGGTGGTGGTGGTGTGGGGGCACAGCCTCAGCAGACAGTGAAGGCAGGGTGTGAAACTCCCAGAGCTGCAAGTTCTGCAATGTCACAGAGCCCAGAGAAATGTGGCATCCACAGATTATGGCACCGATCCATGTTACACTGCCAGGTCCAGTGTGTGCATGTGTGTGTGTGTGTGTGTGTGTGTGTGTGTGTGTGTGTTGCTTTGATTCTGTCCTCTTGAGAGCCATTTGGAGATTCAGAGTGAGGACATTCTTGCAAACTGAGTCTATAAAAAGACGATGGGTTTAAAGGAATGGATCAACATTTTGGAAAATACTCTTAATCACTTTAGAGGAGAAGATTGATACCACTCTCATATCTGTATGCTCAATATGGAGCAACAACCAGCAGCCAGTTAGCACAGCATTTACTGAGCTTTGGGGGAGAATGCTTTGGTTCCTTAGTGTGCACGGCTATCTCCCTTTGTACTGTTCATTTCTGTTAAACAGACCAAGGTTGGGATTAGTTTCCTTTGTACCAACTTCATACTTTCTGTGGGATAATGTTGTATTTGCATCTTTACTACAAAATGCATTGGGCTTAACTGTTAATAAAGAAGCAGGTTTTCCTTTCGTATAGCGGCCCTTAAGAAAACACATGCAAACAGACAAAACACAAGCAAATTCAGAAAATATCTTCATTCATCTTCAATTCTGACAACACATGTGCTGCAGATACTCACAACACAACGCACCAGCATGGGTGTATTATAATTCTTCCATGCACATTTGTTGTTTATTGCTTTTATCTTCAAAAGTCACAAAGCGCTGAACAACAAGCGTGTGTGTCAGCTGGGTTCGTCATTTTCTTTCAGAGCCTCAGTTCGCCTCTAACACATTCACACATTCAGATTCAAAAAGCTGGGACAGCGTGAATGAGACCTGGTTTGGCCGCCCTGTGCCTCACTGCCGAGCCGGACAAACCCCGAGCAGCGTGTCCCAGGTTCGTCTCCGGGCCAGATCATTAACTGCATGTCCTTCCCCAGCACTTCCTCTCTCTCTCTCTGTGTTTCCTTTGTCTCCACAAAACGCCCCGAAAAACCAACTTAAACTGTCAAGTAGGAGCAGAGTATGTAAACTACTCACTCACCACGACACGCCCCCAGAACCACAGATTCATGAGAGGCCGGACACTGCCAACCCCTTTGTATCCGTATGCGTGAACACACTGTAGCACCAAAGCGACTTGGTCGGGGAGAGTTTTCAAATCAACTTAATATGTGACAGCGGATGAAAAGGGACGGTGATGTGAAGTAGTGAAAACATCGTGTTGAGAGAAAACATTGCGAGGGGGAAATGCCTTTTGTTGTGAAGAAATATGTTTCAGTAAAAGTGAGAAAGTAAACACAGTAAACTCTGAAGTGTTATGGTCCTCTGCTGCTAAAAGACAATATGGGAAAGTAGAAATTAGCAATATGTTAGATATCTGTGTATCTTATAGGCTAAATATTCTGTTGAAATCTATTAAAATAAACATCCAGCTGATTGGGTGAGCGTGACATCATGACGTGGTGCAGAGTGGCGTGTAATGATTTCTAAAACGGATAGTTCCAGTCCTTTATTACGGCTGGCTGAGCTGCTTTCGAAAGCCATTGTCGCACACTCACACAACACACACCTGTGTCCGTATCACTGCCCCAAACATACAGTTTCAAAATGTCAGATTCTGTTGAGTCCTTGCAGGTGAACCTCTTGCCACATATTTGTAAAGCTGCTGGCACCGAGACAATCTGGCCGCTGTAGAGGCCAGAGAACTCGTGTCATGTCATACATGTGAATCGGCCCCTCCACTTTTACTGGCGCCCGGCCTACAACGAGGGAAGTAAGAGTAAAACACCGTCGTACCACTAAGTCTGTGTGTTGCTTGGCAACGGTCCTGCTAAATGTACATTGTTGGCGGAAGAATTATTACTTGTTATTAATAAATTATTGCATTTTTTGATGCCTTGTGTTTATTTTATGAAACATTCTCAGGTATGTTTTGTAATTAGCCACATGAGGCCAGGGTTTAGGTTTTTGGAGCAACTAAGTGGGTTTTAACAACTCTGTCGTGTCGTGCCTAACAACACCTCTTGGGCCTTTTTGCTTTAATAAAGGCCTCATGACTTTCTATCATTACACATCACAGAGACCCCAGAGGGAAAGAATGAAAGTTGGCTGTTTCCTTCAGTGTGGTTTAACATCAATGAACAACACAGTTTCATTTTATTCTACATTATTCTCCACAATGTTTCCACAGTTTCATCACTGTTAAACATTTTATATTATCAGTTAATGTGTTTAAACTGCCAGAAATGTTTGGTGCATGACTGAGATTCTTTCCACTGGGCGTTCCAGATCTTTTCAGTGATATTCTGCAATGCCTGCAATGAAAGCCTGCAATGAAAATGAAAGTTTACCAAAAATCTCGAACGTGATTTTATTTTGCTCACAGTTTCTCAAACTGTTTGGGACTTGTTGCTCTTACAACATCTTCATATTTATTTTAAACCAGATTCAAAGAACCAAAAAAATCCAGACTCATGTCAAATTGTCAACATGCGGCTCAATCCGGACTAAAAAACACCAAAATTACAAACTTAAAGCAATGTAAAGGTGCAGAGATCTGCAGAGTGAACTGTTGATTCACAGTGGGATCTGCAGTACTAACAACCTAGCATTACAGCGAGTCATTCTGTGATAACATCAATAATATCTATAATAAAATAAATATAATTTAATAATTGAATGCCTGTTCAGTACGTGTCTGCACAGAGATTCTGTTAAGCACTGCTCTAGGAAAACCATCAGGACCATTCGTTAGTAAGATTTATGGATTCAATTTAAAAAAAAAAAGAAGAAAAAAAGATAGCTGGACAAATGTGATATTTTCAGATAGTACTGTATGTGCAGGTAGTTTGCCCGTCTTTCTCTGTGGCAGTTGGTGAGCCACATTATTCCACTGCTGTGTGGCAGCAGCTGCATGTGGAAGTGGGTCAGTACAGTAATTCCTTATGAGAGGAGAGAGCAGAGAGCTGCCAAACATGTCGCTGTCTGTTACACAGCAATGAAGAAAGGAGAATGGAGAGGAGAGAGAGAGAGAGAGGAGGAGATGAGGCAAAAACAGAGAGACTCCGACAAGGAGAAGGAGAAAGAAAGACGGAAAGAGAAAGAAAAAGGAAGAAGAAATTGGGTGAAAACAATGTTGGAGCAGAAGGGTGGAGATTAGGAGGCAAGAGAGCAGGCGAGAGAGGGAGTGGGAGGAGAAAGAAAGGGATCAGAGTGAAAGACGAAACAGTGGGAGAATGAGACTTTAAAAGGACGGAGAGGAATAAACAGTGCGAAAGACTGATAGATTAAGAAAGCAAGAATAAATGGAGCAGTGGAGGAGAGCACGGGCCAAAACGGTGCAGCACGACATCGGGATTAATCGAGACGTGCCGGGGAAAAGAGGCGGCAGATAGACAGCTGTGCTGACTGGACTGATTCTTTTGTCAGAGCAAGAGGGAGATGAAAGATCCTTTTTCAAACCTTGCCAGCACACACACACACACACACACACACACACACACACACATATACACACACACACACACACACATATACACACACAGTGGGCAAGCCATCTGGAAGAGTGTCATCAGCCAGCCTTCGCAGAGATAGGGAGGGAGACGGGGAGTAGATAAGAAGTGAGACAGAGAGGTGAAGCCTCAATTATACTCCCCAGTGAACACACACACAGACAGACAACTGCGGACACCACGGACATGTAGTTGTTCTTATCACACTACTCTCAAGTCTGCTTGGAGTCCATTTGGAGGCCGCATGCAGTTGGTGCCCCTGCAGAAAGTATTAGGGACGGGAGAGTAGCTTCTGTGTGTGTGGTTGTGTGTGTGTGTGTGTGCGTGTGTGTGTGTGTGTGTGCGCGCACATGAATGATGCCCAGGTGACAACAACAAGACAAAAAATCACATTTGTCTGTAATGGATATGGAGATATTATTGCATGAGTTTAACATGCATGCAACTTGCAGAATTAAGTTTTAAATGATGGCGAATTGCTAATAACAGTAAGAATACAAAACGTACATATTCAAACAATAAGACAAGTAGTGATTGAAATTGAAGCATTTCAGGGGCAGAGATGTTTAATTTGAAGAGGGAGATCTGTTGTTCTGCTCAGAAATATCTTATAATGGTGCGACCTGAAAATCATGTGGGGTTAGAGGAGAAGTCAGAGGATTACCAAAGTCATTAGGTTTCATCCTCTAGTGACAATGAATGTCTAAATTTAATGGCAATACATCCAGTATTTTTGTGGACCACCATACACCCAACATGCCGCATGGCCAAAAGCAATTTAAGTACAAACACACATACACACACTGCGGTTTATTTTGAGTCAATCCCACATTCAGCGTTCTGCTGTTGGAAGTAAAGTAATCTGTGCATTTCCTGCAAACAGGAGACTTTTGTTCCCTGACTTCAGCCTCCCCAAAGGCAACATAAGTCCCCTGTTAAATCTGCACCAAGCCCGAGGACAAGCGCTGCCTGAAGGACAAACTCGGGGAAAAGATGACTCACTTGAATTTCATACTACTACTAATCAGGGGTTGAGGGTACGAGGACACGTTCCACACATGCACACTAGAAAAT